AAAGCAAGCAAGACATGTAGATTGTACATCTAATTCAAGGGGTACTCCAGTTTTTTTCCTTTTCTTAAGATCTCTCTAAGTGCCCTTGATAATATGTTTGCTTAGACCTATCATTATATCAACCATCAATTGATGGTTTTCAACCATTCCCATGAGAGTGAGCAAAACAAAAAGGTCCACCAGTCACGGTGGTGGTTTTCTTTTGTCAGGTCCACCAGCAATGGCGGACATCTTTTGTTTAACTTTCCCTCCTGGGAATGGTTGAAAACCATCAATTCCTACCTTTCCTGTTTCTGTCAAAACAGAGGCTCTAATAGATGACGCTGATATACAGACTATTTTTTCCTCTGCTAAGCCCAAAGATCTTGCCCTGGGATGATATACTGGGGAGCCATGGGCACTAGCGTCACCAGCGTAGGGTAGGGAATCACTCCACCGCCACTGGTATAGTCGACCATCAACACCCAGTGCTATCAGCTCTGAATACATTGATACAATGTGGAGGAAAGTTGGACTTTGGCCATCCTAAAAAAAAATGATAAGCTATAAGCATCTAGACATTTTCCTTTTTTGCTCAAATAACAACTGAAATCAAAACAACATGTCATACATAAAATATACTATTGCGCAGGCATTAAACCCATCAACAAGTCTCACCATGTGAGACATTGTCCTTGAATAATATTTCATGTTTTCAAACCATCAATGTAAAGCTACAAGACTGAGAATTTTTAATAAACCGAAAGTGAATAAAAATAATATATGGCAATCCTGATTCAATTCTTTGCAGTCTCAAGACTGTGGACTATGTCATGGTGACAACGTTTTTTGAAATAGGTGTATAAAAACTTGCTTACCATTACTGGCCACCACTGAAGTTGATCAGCTACAGTTACAGGATCACCAGTACCATTCCTACTAGGTGCAGCTAACTTATCTTGACCAGAGCTATTGTTAGTTCTTCCAGAACCACTAGATTCACCGCTGCATAAATGAACATTTCCCCACCATCTATCAAACTGCTCACGACTCAGAGATTCTCGTTCTCTTGGCCTGTCAGATTCACGATCACTAGTAGACTCTCTCTCTGGTGCTGTTGTTGATCGGCTTCCACGGCTGCCACCACTGGCTGTGCGACGGTGAAGTGTGCTATACTGATTACTGTAAAACATGTCGTCATGGAAGATGGCTTCTTGGTCGACAATTAGTGAGGGGTCTTCTACATGGACACCAGCATCAAGTAAAGACATCAGATCATCTGGGAAATAGTTAATAGAAATGATTATTTGTATACTAGGAAATTGCACAGCATTGAGTACAATTTGGAACTAATAGTAATGTTTTGAAAGTTATTCATAATTGCACGAGCTTGATAGGGCAAGTATAGGATGGAATAATAGTATGGAAAATTGCAGACTTGTCCCCAGTCTCCCTTGTGATCAAATCTGCTGACCAGATGATTTGCAGTTGCTGTTCACTTGTGTTTTTGAGCTTTTGGGCATTTTGGTAAAATGCATCTGAATTTGCCCTTTTGAAATTGGAACAAAGAAGACTGCGAAAGAGTATGACAACACATGTAGACCACTTTTCCTAGAAAGTTGAACCTTGCCACATGAAAGACCATTTACAATAGTCTTCTTCACGGTTACCTGCGCCATCTTGAAAGGCAGCCATGCCTTTGCATCGATGTGAGACGCCTGTGGTGTGCAATGATAGAAACCTTCTTTCACACCTACAGACAATAGTCCATTTGCATTATGACGTAACTACAACTACCAGAGAGCCTTACGTATTTTCATTGTTATTCAGATTTTTAATCCCCTTGGAGATTWATAAAACAATTGGCACTAATTGCATTACAAAAGAAAGTTGGCAAAGCATTCTGGTAGTTGTAGTAAATGACACCATAATGCAAATCGCCCATTATTCAAAGGTATCTATCATTTCACGCTCAACGGTTGTCTCGCTTCGATGTACAGGCTCGGCTACCTTTCAAGATGGCACAGACTATTGGTGTTATCTTCAAGTTTGTAGCTAGGCACTAGTCCTTTTCAAACCTTTTGAAGTTTCATGAAGCAAGCATACTTGGGTTATTTGGGACATCGGTACTTACCGCCTGGTAAATATTCTGAGCTCTCTTCCTGGTCATCGCCTTCTTCTTCATCTCTACTCAACAAGTTATTGACAGCCAAATTGACATCAAGGTTCTACAAGATACAGTGTGGTATAGAATTGTAGAACTATTTGACTACTATCA